TTAAATGACTTGGCCAAGATCACTGGGGAAGTAAGTGACCGAGCAGAAATGTACCTACTCGGGGTTCTGAACTGCGAGGTTGGTGCTTTAATTTATCATCCTTCACCTCCTGCATCATGCATATCATAATACTGCTGCAGCAGCACTGAGTAACATAAGGAGGTCGTTCTCTTTCAGCATTGGCAAGTGGTGCTGGGAACAGATCCCAGATATTCTAACTTTGTTTTCCTTTCCTCTGTGTCTGTTGTTACAGGCACTGAGACTTGTCCAAATTTCCCCGTCTGCAAAATGAGTGAGTTTTTGTCACCATCTCTTTGTGAGTGTTTTGAAGCAGAAATCTTGGCCAGAGCATGGTTTAAATCAACCAGGCAGAGTAGAAGAGGAGCAGGGGAATTGCCTCTGCCCTCTCATATATGGGAAGCTGAAGTGCAGCGAAAATGATTTTGCTTCAGCTCATACAGGGAGGATGGCAGAGCCAGGAAACAAATCCAGATCTCCTGAGTTCTCATCTAGCACCTTTAGTCACAAACACTGTGGATGGGCTGGGGGGAGCCCTCGGCATTGCAGACAGGGTGGCAGTATGTGCTGGTGCTGGGCCTGGCGCCTGCTTCCAGGCCTCCCACCACACTCCCCCGGGGGAGCAGGAAGTAGCAGCCAGGGCAGCCCTCTGGTAGGGCTTGCTACGGTTGGGCCTTCTGCGCAGAGCTGGAGGTTTGTATTGCTTCTCTTTCAGCAGAGGAGAAGGACAAGCCCCCAAGAGTGAAGCTTGGGGTGTGTGGAGGGGGGCAGCCCTCTCCCGTGCCTCAGAAAGGGCTGGGCAGATGGCAGCCCACAGCGCAGTCTGCAGGGTACGCCAAGCCCCCTGGCTTTGCCCTTCTGCAAGGCCAACAAGCCCGGCAGGTCATGGGCGCTAGAACTGGCATGACGACTCCAAATGCTCAAGGGTCGAGATCATTTTCTTAAGTGCGGGGGGTGTCTCTGCCTGCTGACATCCGCAGAGATATGGTATGCTAACATCCGCAGAGGTAGCGGTCATGGGCGATATAAGAGACCAGGTCCTTTTGGAAGGAAAACTCTAAGAGACTCGCACTCCTGGCTCTGTCTGCAGGATCCTGGCTGGGCTGCAGCAGTTGTAGGCTGCCGGGAGAGCTTCACTCAGCAGGGCCCCAGCAGCAGCAGGCATGGCTCAACCCTGCGTTTCCTATCAAGATTCCTCCCAGGGCCTGACAGACTGTGGTCGCCGATCTTTGCGACCAAAGGAAGCGGATAATCCTGAAGCAATCGCATGTCTTCTGCAGCTCCAAATCAATATAAGGTTCTTCCACAACGGTGGTCCACAAAGTGTGCCGGCAGCAGGTTTTTTGCCACGGTCTGCGGTGTATGCCTCTCTCAGCCTGAGGCAATGTGGGAAGCAAAACTCCTGTGGTTGTGAACAACACCCATGGGTCTTGAGGGCAACCTGGGAGCCCCAGCATTGTAGTGAGAGCCCAGGCCAGCAGTTCAGTGTGGTCCTGACCACATATTTCTTGCACACGTGTGCATTTACTGGGTCCCATGCCCAAAGCAGCCGGCTGTGCTGAAAGCAGAGGATGCAGAGGCGAGCTGTGGTGCTCCCGCACGCTGGCTGTAGGACTGTCTGCACTGCTGCCAGCTCAATAGCACTGAAGAGAGCTGGGCTCAGCAGGTTCCTGTAGTGAGGGGACAGTCCCATGACCCTGTCCCAGCTCAGCACAGCAAGCACAGAACAGAGCTGACGGCGGCACTGAAGCTTCTGGACACCGCCAGGGCATTTTCTCTGGGAATCTGCTTTAGCCTTGGCCTGCACAGCAGCAAAACAAAGCATCTGGGAGGGGTTTTTTTGTACCTTAAGGGTAGGGAGAGGAGGGGGAACATGGGGGTGGGATTGTGGAGTGTGATGTGGACGTTCCTGCCAGAAGGACTTGAGGGATGTCTGGGAACAGGAAGGATGTAAGCCCAGGCAAAGAGTACAGGAGAGGCCAGTTTTGTCCCAGAGAAGAAGGTGCATCTGATGGTGTCTGTCTGTCTGCTTCCATCTGGGTAAGGAATGGGTCTCTCCAGGCTACATTGGGTTTCTGCTGTCCCAGGTTTCTGCTGGGAGCCGCTGTGCTGTGTTGCATTGGCTGACAGGATGTGGAAGTGAGAGGTAGCTTTAGAGAGCTCATCCGTAGCTTTATAAGCTCCATTCTAGCTCTGCCTCCATGATGCAAACTCCCAGGAGCCTGCCCTGTTGGAACAGAAGTGATGTGGGGATGGGGCCTGGGGCCTGCATGGCAGCATGATCTTGATTTCTCCCCTTATGGTGGCTCCCCATGTGGAGCCTGGCTTGCTGTGCTTTGGACTGGCTGTCGGGGTTGATGTGGGAGAGTGTGAGGTCTATTGTGCAGCCCATCATGCTGTCACCATTACAGCAGGATGGTTCTCCTTGCCCACTAGGAGAGGAAGTGGGATTTGAATGTGGATGTCCCACAGAGCACTAGAGAGAGCACTTCCCTCTAAATTTGCTAAACTGGAATAGAAACAGAAGCACTTGTCAATCCTGTGTGCGCCAGCAGGTGGTACTTGAAAGCATAAGTGTAGGTTGGTGTAGTGGTTAAAGTAGAGGTCCAGGTTCCCTTTCAGGTTCTGTCACTGGCGTAGAGTTACTTTAGGCAAGACACGATACTTAACCTCTCTGCCATCCTTTTGTTTTCAGTGCATTTCTGTCTGGTCCCATTCTTGGTGCATACCAACCTCCTTTCTTCCAGTTGTTCTCTGGGCTTGGTTGACAAGCTGGACACCAGCCCTACAGATCCCAACCTCTCTCTTTGCAACAGCTGAGAACGGGGAAAATGGGGAAGCTGAGAGCGACCCTGTTGGAGACACCACAAGGTCATAGTTCTAGGAACTGTATCTGTCAGGAGCGACTACTGTTCTCATATTATTATTATTATTATTATTATTATACAAAGATATGTTGCCTCCATCACCAGCCCTGTGCACAACCTGTGGATGGTGGCTGTGGCCTTGATTTCTTGTTTGTGGGTGGGCCTAAGTTAGAGAAATGAAGTGGGGAGAGAATGCTGGTGCTGACCTCAATGCTGCCATGTACCCATGTGTACCTCAATGCTGCCTTGCTTTTGGTTTTGCCCTTAATATACCTTTGGGTTGTACTACCTGGTGAGCTGCTTTGTCTCCAGGCAACTCTCTCATAGGTTTTTGCACAGATCCTTAAGTAGTGGCCCCTGGGAGAGTGTGTACAGATCTCTAGGAGCTGAGGATGATATGGGAGAACAGCTTAGACTCCCTTTCTCCCCAGTTCTTTAGGTATGAGTCCATTGCTTACTACTCTTCAAAATGGAGACCAGGATACATGCCTGGCCTTGCTTAGTATTAATTCTTCTGCTGGACTCCATGTGTTAGCCAAAAGGAGACTGGTTTCAGTGGCACGACTTGCACTTCCTTCTGCAGAGTACTGGCTCGTGATAGGGGACTTTGTGTAAAGCAGGTCAGGTTGTTAGGAACCTCAGCACTTCGTGTGTCACATTTGCACCTGTGCAAAGAGCCAGCAGTACCAATCCACAGAGCATGCTGTGTGTATCTCAGGTGTCTGCAACATCCTGTGCTTTGCACTGTACTGTGTGTAGCTAAGGGAAGATTAATTTCATTTTAAGGACTGAGTGGCTGGAACATGTGAACTAGGGGGGTGAAGATTGTGGATTGCTCTGGGTTTCCTCCCAAATGTCATTGCTAATGGAAAACAGAAGATGCGGGATCTCACAGTGCATTAGTGCCTAATGGAAAGGACATTCCAGAGCTGTCTGTCTGTGAGTCCTCAGCATGGCTTCAGTGCCAAGAAATTAGCACTCTTTGAATGCCCTTTGATTTCAGGACCATTGCTTTGTAGGTAAATTTCCCCAAGGGGATTGGATGATGACAATGAAAGGCAACAGCTGTCACTTCATTGGGCATGTGCTAACAACTACTGCTTGAGTGGCAATTTCAGCTGGCCAGTTGTGCTTCAGCGATGTGTATTTGCAGGGAAACACTTCCAAAAAAGCAGAGAGGGGTCTTAAATGAAGGAAGTGTTAAATGCAGAGATTTGTTTCAGTGATTTTGTTTCAGTGCTCTTTTAAATCTTCTTATGCTTTTCATCCAATGGCCTGTTAAGGACAGTGATGCAAGCAGGGCAAAGATCCATCCACGAAAGCATGTTGGCTTACAAGATCTTGCTGTTTGTGGTGACTAATGGCTTAATTACAGAGTTAAGGTACACAAAATGCCATTTGTTGTCACTGAGGACAGGGGTGGTGGCATATGTCAACTGTAGACTGCTGAGCATGTGTTGGCTCCTTGAATTCTGCGGTTGCCCCCTGCACCTTCTGTCTGCAGTTCAGCTAGTCTGGTGTGCCAGTTTGTTACTGTCTAGAGCCAGATGCAGGCCACAGCTCCTAACCAAAGTGGAGGAAAATTTTATCGCATTTGGGGTTTGCTATTTTTCCCTTTATCTTATTGCAGAGCACTTTATTCACCTGTGTGTCCTGTTCCCCTCCACAGTCTGTGCTGGCCACTAGCAGACTCTGATGGCAAGTAGAGCCCCAACAGCAGGAAACATTTTGAAGGTGTAGGGTAAAGAAGGAGGTGGACAGCTTATTCTAATGTCAAAGACTCTGTCAAAGGGCATCTGTCTTACAAATTAGGATGGCATGTTCCCTTTGGAAACACCTCTCTGGGCTGAGCAGCCTGTGTTGAAGAGGAAGCAGGTGGTGATTGGGCTCTGGATTCTGTTCTTGCCTCTGTCAGGCTTGTTCTAGGACCTTAAGCAGGGCCCTCAGCCTCTCTGCTTCAAATTATTATTAAGGTCACCTGCCCAACGAGGGGTGGGCATCTTCATGGTGGTGATGTGTAAGATGACTTCCCAGCTGCCCCTTTACATGTTACTGTGTGTATGAAGAGTGTTCCTGCTAGTCATTCAAGTCTCTCCCTGCCTCCCTTGGTTGCAGTCTCAGACCATGAACTATGTGGGGCACCTGGCGGAGACGGTGTTTGTCACCGTGAAGGAGCTGTACAAGGGCCTGAACCCAGCCACCCTGACGGGATGCATTGACATTATTGTGGTGAGGCAGCCAGATGGCTCTTTCCAGTGTTCGCCTTTCCATGTGCGCTTTGGGAAGCTGGGTGTGCTGCGCTCCAAGGAGAAGGTGGTAAGTGGTGCCTCTTTGTATGCTAGGAAGGACTTATCTACTGATATGTCCCTGAAACTTTACATTACCAGAGGCCTCTCTTAGTGTACCCTCAAGTTTCCCCATAAGGAACCTTGCCATTTAATAATCAGGGATCCTGGTTTTCTCTCATAAAAAAATTGCAAATTCTCTGATTAAAGCCCCCTAATCCGTGGTTAAAATGAAAGGCCACTATATATACAGGCATCAGTTGAACACAATGTTTTATTGATATATTTACAGTTTTAGAGTGATTTGGAAGACTACCTCAATCACTGTAATAAAATACATTCTAAATATATATTTTGGCATTTGATTTTGGGTTTTTCATCATGGAAAATCAGAGCTTCTGCTGAGTCCACTCTGTACACCCCAAGGAATTATGCACAGGAAAATTCAAAATTATGCAACATTAATTACTTTTAATTTTGTTTTACAAATTAAACTAAATATAACACTATTTGGACCTTCTTTAGAAATATATGCATGTACTTTGTATGATTGGGGGTGTGTGTCGGGTGTGCGTGTGTGGTGTTTGTGGGTGGGTGTAGGGTTTGTGGCAGAGCTGTGAAGGGGTATGAGGAGTGTGGGTATGTGTATGGGATTTGTGGGCAGGTGTGGGGTTTGTGGTGCATAGCCTCCACTGTTGGCGGCTTAGTGGCAGCAGGCAGTGGGCACTTGGAGCACTCATGGCTGCAGCAGGCAGAGCCCCCAGTGGCTTGCACCTGTGACTGAGTCCCAGGACCTGCGCATGCTGGCACGGAGCCAGCCCAGCCCATTGGCACACACCTTGAGACCAGACTGGGCTGGGTCTGTGCCCACACGTGAGGCTCGTGGCACTGCAGGTGGGAGCTGTGCGCCATTGGGCCAGGCAGGCTCCGTGCCTCCATGGGCAGCTTCCCACTGGAGTGCAGGAAGCCGTATGTGGACACACAGAGCTGGCTGCCCTGGCCCGATGGTTCGTGGACTGGGAGCCATGCACCATTGGGTTGGGCAGGCTCCGTGCCTCCACATGGGGCTTCCAGCACTCCAGCAGGAAGCCCGCCCAGCCGGATGGTGCGTGCAACTCCGTGCATCCATGTGCAGCTTCCCACCTGGCCCAATGGTGTGCAGCTCCTGGTCCATGCACCATCAGGCTGGGCCGCCCCTCCATGTG